CTCTGGCCAAATTTAAGTAAGTAAATAAATAAATAAATAAATAAAGTTAAAATAAAATAATTCTTAAAAATTCTTTAAAAAAAAAAAGTTTCATTCTCAATAGTAAACTACAAAAAATTACATTGTTATTATTATTTAAAATTTTTCCAATAAAACAGTTGTGGATTTGTTTTCTCTCTTATTGTATCTCCCTAATACACCATAATACCTACATAATACCCTTACTTATACCTCTAGGTTTGTAAAGCATAAAACCTACTATTTGACCCTTATAAAAAGACTTTACCAAGCCCTAAACTATAAAATAATTTCTCACCAGTAACAACACCATCTCTTAAAAAGCTAAGCTCATCCCATTAAGAGCATTTCACAAGTACACTTTTTTTATAGACCACAGATTATTTTTAACACCCATCATGCCATGAATTCATAGGGAATAGGTTCCAGTAGCTCAGGCTCCTTTCCATTGGTTCTCACAGGTGCGCTTCTCTGGGTGGAGCAGGCTGGTGCTCCAGTTGAACCCAGGTCCTTTCTCTTTGGCTTCTTTCTTTTTCTGGTCATTTTCCTTCACACGTTTTAGGAAGCTGTCTCCGCTCTTAGAATGTTTAATATGCTCAATATGCACATTGATTCTCTTGGCAAGAACCTTGCCCTTAACTTGTTTGTTCACAACAACGCCAACAGCATGCTGGGTAACATTGTAGACTCTTCCAGTTTTGCCATGGTAACATTTGCGGGGCATTCCTTTATGAACAGTACCCATTCCCTTAATGTCTACAATATCACCTTTCTTGTAAATTCGCATGTATGTTGGCAAAGGAACCACTCCATGTTTTCTAAAAGGCCTAGAGAACACATATCGGGTGCCTCTCCTCTTTTCCTCAGTGTTTGTCATTTTGGTGAATTACTGGAAGATGGCGGTTCCGGCCAAAAGGCTCACAAGTACGTTTTAAGAATAATATATTTTTACCAATAAAGAGATTATAAATAGTAATTAATATTTTATCTACAAAAACTTTTTAAGTTTAATTTCTTGGGGGAACCAGCAGTTAGCTTAATGGCTATGTCGCTGGACTCCCACGTAGTCGATCACGGTTCACGTCCCGGACCTGGTGGCGCGTGTGCGTACGTGCCCAAGATCCCCAGAGGAGAATGGAGGAGAAGGGACTGCGGCGTGACCATCCCCCCTGGGGGGTGATTTCTCGCTTTCTGTCTCTATGTCTCTCTCTGTCTGTCTGGCGAGCGCACACGCCCTATAGTGAAAAACCTCTCCAAAAAAAAAAAAAAAAAGAGTAATTTCTTGATATTCTTACATTATCCCTACTAAGATCAAAATAACAAGGTAGGTAGCTTAAACTTTCAAGTAGTAAAAGTGAAATAACTTCAATCTCTCAACAATAATGTAAAAGGCAATTATTAAATTCCAACCAAACTGGTTAACATAACCAGGTTCTTATCATTTTCAGGAAATTTTCAAAACCCAATTCTTTTCTTCACACATGAGCAAAACCGCTAGAAATATATTCAAACAAATAAAACACACAAAGAAAGCTTGTACCTTTAAAATGTTCTTACATAGAAAATGCAATAAAAATACACACACACACACACACACACACACCCATCATGAGTAACACAGTGGCCATTACTTGCCTGTGGGTGCCAAATCTCAAGGCATTTTGATTCTTTCCCTTCACCTCAGCCTTGCTCGCTCTTGTTTTTTGTTTGTTTGGGTTTTTTTGTTTTTAGATTTTTGCCATAGGGTATGTGTGTTCACCAGAAAGAGACAGGAAAAGAGGGAGTGTGAAAAAGCACCCCCAGGGAGATGTTCACACCACAAGCCTCTCTCCTCCATTCTGCTCTTGCGATTTTAGGCACACACACTGCGTGTTTTTCAGGCCGCCAGGTCCAGGACTCAGACTGCAGAGTTGGTCATGTGGGATCCGGCACCTTAACCACCACATCACCAGCTGGCCCACCCTAACTCTCTCTTAAGCTCCTCTCTGGTGGTTGACCTCTCCTCTCTCTATTTCTGCCCAACCCACTTCTTTAACTGGCCACAAAAATCTGTAGACGTTATTTTATCTTCTACCCCCTGCACAACGCACGGGTTCTGCACAGAGACAGCTAGGGTGTGTGGTTTCTGTGCTTTCAGGTCAATGTAAGGCAGGGCCGAGGGCTGCACAGGAGCTGGCTGTCCCCTGCCTGTGCTGGGATGCCCTCAGGGAGGACACGCGAAGCACAGCCCCAACTCCCACAGCGGGTAACACTCGTAAGTACTCGCAAGTGCTACCACATAGTACTTAACACAGAGTATTACTACATCATACTTAACACAGTGCTACACATAGTACTCAACACAGAGTACTACCACTTAGTACTTAACACAGAGTACTACCACATAGTTCTCCGCCCCGGCCCCTGCGTGGCCTGCCTGGGCAACAGGGTGGCACCCGCCCCAGCCCTTGGTACAAACAGGCCTCGAGAGGAAACCCAAGGGCTGAGGATGCAGACTCAGAAGCAGGAGTTTCCAATAGCTGTGTTAGCCGCGGGGGCCTGGACTGTTCTCCCTTGCAGTCAAGGACAGGGATCAGGCACAGAGGCTATTGGCCAGGTCTGTGTTTTCTCTCTGTAGCCACACACTCAAATAATAAGCTCCTTCCCTCGCCTGAAGATCAAGTTGGCCTTAAAGTCATGATGTAATGCATCATGACCTTTCTGACAGCCCAGACTGTAAGACTCTGTTAAGTACTATGTGGTAGTACTCCGCACTAAGTACCACGTGGTAGTAGTCCACGTTAAGTGCTGTGTGGTAGCAGTCCACACTAAGTACTATATGGTAGTAGTCCGTGCTAAGTACTACATGGCCATGCTCTGTGTTAAGTACTATTTGGTAGTACTCTGTGTTAAGTCTGTGTGGTAGCACTCCATGTTAAGTGCTATGGTAGTAGTCTGTGTTGTGTACTATATGCTAGTACTACTCTGTGTTGAGTACTATGTGGTAGTAGTCTGTGTTAAGTGCTGTGTGGTAGTAGCCCGTGTTAAGTGCTGTGTGGTAGCAGTCTACATTAAGTACTATATGGTAGTATTTGGTGTTAAGTACTATATGGTAGAACTCTGTATTAAGTGCTGTGTGGTAGTACTCCATGTTGAATACTGTGTGGTAGTGCTCTGTGTTAAGTACTACATGGTAGTACTCTGTTGAGAACTATGTGATAGTACTCTGTGTTAAGTACTATGTGGTAGTGCTCCATGTTAAGTACGATATGTAGCACTGTGTTAAGTACAACAAGGTTGTACTCTGTGGTAAGTACGACGTGGTAGTACTCTGTGTTAAGTACGACGTGGTAGTACTCTGTGGTAAGTACGACGTGGTAGTGCTCTGTGGTAAGTACGACGTGGTAGTGCTCTGTGGTAAGTACTATGTGTAGCACTGTGTTAAGTACGACATGGTAGTACTCTGTGTTAAGTACGACGTGGTAATACTCTGTGGTAAGTACGACGTGGTAGTGCTCTGTGGTAAGTACGACGTGGTAGTGTGTAGTACTCTGTGGTAAGTACGACGTGGTAGTGCTCTGTGGTAAGTACGACGTGGCAGTGTGTAGTACTCTGTGGTAAGTACGACGTGGTAGTGCTCTGTGGTAAGTATGACGTGGTAGTGCTCTGTGGTAAGTACGACGTGGTAGTGCTCTGTGGTAAGTACTATGTGTAGCACTGTGTTAAGTACGACATGGTAGTACTCTGTGTTAAGTACGACATGGTAGTACTCTGTGTTAAGTACGACATGGTAGTACTCTGTGGTAAGTACGACATGGTAGTACTCTGTGGTAAGTACTATGTGGTAGTACTCTGTGGTAAGTAGTATGTGTAGCACTGTGGTAAGTACGACGTGGTAGTACTCTGTGCTAAGTATGATGTGGTAGTACTCTGTGTTAAGTACTATGTGGTAGTACTCTGTGCTAAGTACTATGTGTAGTGCTGTGTGTTAAGTACTGCATGGCAGAACTGGGACAGTAGCTTCAATCCAGTTCAGAAAGTCTCTGTAAGTTACGTTAGTCCTGAAGCCTCTTTCCCCTCCCTAGCTCACACATATGTGGCATGAACTCACCCTTCCTACCATTCCCCACCCAAATCTTCAGGTCCCCACTCTGCTCCCCACTCTCGTGCCACAAGACCTACACGCCCACACACACCCACCCCGTCTCCTCTGTCCCTGCTGACAAGCACAAGGCCCGTCCCTATGACGAGGCTGTTAAGAGACCAGGCTGACCAGTAAGCAGCGTAGAGGCCATGTCTATGGTGCACTGTGGCGTGGGGGGCAGTTGCCGAGGGACAGTTCCATGGGACAGTACCCCAGAGCAGCGTCGCTCTGTCCGCGTGAAGAGCAGACAGCAGACAGGGCCAGAAAGCCGCAGGACAGCTCCTGCCCCATGGCCGTCATTCACTCTGAACGCAGCGAACGCAAGCTCGTCGGCGCCGCGTGTGGTCCTGCCTGAGTGCGCATGCTGGCGTGGTGGCTACCAGCTGGCTGGCGAAGGGGTCCCAAGTCCGAGGAGTCCTTAAACGGGTCGGTCGTCGGGCGAGGAGCGGCTGTGCACTCAGACCGCAGCTCAGATGGCATTTCCTCTGACTCGGAACCACCCCACTGCCCTCCTGTGTGCCCAGGTCAGAACGGAGCACCTCTCCACCCCTCGAACCTCCCTGAAGGCTCCACCTACCGGTGTGGTCCCCCTGCCCGGCCCCATCCCACCCATGCAGCCTCCCACGGGGACCAGGGGCCTGGGGGAGCACTTTTCAGTTAGCAAAGACATGGCTAAGCACATGGGCCTCACTGTAGCACCCCTGGGCTTCCATGACAGTGCCATCCCTGCCTCCCCCACCTCCCCATGCTCCCCAGCAATGCAGTCCTAAAGGCTGAGCAGGAGGACACCGCACCGAGATGCAGAGCTTGGGGCACCAGAGCTCACAGCGGTCCCCACAGGACCCTCCTCCCGGCTCACCTGCTGGAAAAGGAGCTCTTCCGCCTTGAGCCTCTCCAGGGCCTCCTGCTCCAGTACCGCGCGCTCCCGCTCACGCTCCAGCTCGGCCATCTCCTCCTGTCTCTAAACGTGGTTAAGACAGCGCGTGGCTCAGTGGGGACAAAACAACTTGGAGAACCAACCTTGAAAGCATCTTAATCCCCAACAATAGGGGAAGGGTGAAGCAGATTATATTCTATCCACTTGGAAACTACACAGTACTCTGAGAAGATGTGTGTTTCATTTGAACAAAGAGCACAAAATAAAATTACTCATCGAATGTGACCATAAGTACATTAAAATACTACAAAGGTGTAGGAAAACACGACCCATAGAAGAAAATACCTAAAATCTGAACAGAAGCCTCCTTGGTATAGCTTTCTCCCTGATTCCCTCATGTTGTCCAAATTTCTATTACACACGTTATTTTTATAGTAGAAACAATAATATTAAAAATGTTTTAAAGACAGAGAAGTCAGGCCAATATTATTAAGCTTCTATTTTTTTAAATAATTATTTTATTTATCCTTCATTTATTTACTTTAATTTGACCAGAGAGGGACAGAGTGAGAGAGAGAGAGAGAAAGTGAGAAAGCAAGACTCCAGGTCCTGGACTCGAACATGTGGAAGTCCAGTGCCCTTAACCACCAAGCCACCTGTCAGCCCCTATTCTTCTAATTTTCTAAAGAGAGATGCATACGTACCAGGTGCTCCATCGTCACATTTTCCTTATATTTGTAAATCCACAATGCTAAATATTCCACTGGATCCACTGGACGGACTCTGGCCACTTCAGCGAGACCCTGAGTTAGACACTTCCCAAGGTGCTTTCGAAGGTATATTGACTCCATTTCTAACTCCTAAAGAGAAGCTTGTCAAAAAATAAACATCTCCCATTAGTGCAGGACATTTCTGAGTAAGGCGTAGTGAGAAGACAGCCCATGAGGCCAGCAGAACCCTGCAGTGGCCACCACACTTGACCACCACCCTCGGGACAACCTCAGGTGCCTTCAAGGGCTCCCCACCATGCCCCACAGAAGGCAATGCATCTCACATAGTCCCAAGTTCTGAAGTGCTGTCAGGTCGGACTCAGAGGCAGCCCTCTCACCAACAACGCTGTCTTCAGGCTAAACAACATGCGTCCCACCTCATTCACACAGTGAACTCAGAAATGGGCACCGGATCTTCCCAGGGAAGGGCATAGGACACAGTCTGGACTGCTGGCAGAGGAAGGAGACAGGGTTTGCACCCGCTCCTGATGCACAGGCTTAGCCCTCATGACAGTCGGGGGCCCCCAAGCCGAGAGAGCCATTCTCACAAAACGCTATGGCAGCCTACCCGTTTAGAAACTCCATGAATTCCCAAAGCCAAAGAATAAAAACAGCGCATCCCCCGTGCCAGCACACGCTGGGCTCTCACACCAAGCAGCCTGCACTCTGCTCGTGGCTTGCACTCACCTCCCCAACATGTACATGTGCTGGTGACCCCCAACTGAGGGTCTCCACTCAGAACTGCCCCTCACCTGGGGCTCAGAGACCCCTCACTCCCTGAGCAGTCCCAGCCCAGTGACATGCTTCCCTTCCCAAGCAGCTCACGTGGCGCTGTGTATGTGCCATGCATGTGCATACACTGAGAGTGTGTGCACGCTGCGTGTGTGTGCATGGTGTGTGTGCACTGTGCAAGTGCTGTGTGTGCACATGCATGCACTGTGTGCTGTGTGTGCACTGTGTGTGTGCTGTGTGTTGTGCATGCACTGTGTGCTGTGTATGCAGTGTGCATGTGCTGTGTGTGTACATGTGCTGTGTGCACTGTTCATGTGTATGCAGTGTGTGCATGCACTGAGCATGTGTGCACACTGAGCATGTGTGTGCACTGTGTCTGAACTGTGAGCTGTGTTTTGTGTGTACGCTGTGCATGTGCTGTGTGTGTGCATGTGCTGTGTGCACTGCACATGTGTACGCACTGTGTGTGCATGCACTGAGCATGCACATATGCTGAGCATGTGTGTGCACTGTGTGTGCTGTGCATTGTATGTGTCTGCACTGAGTGCACACAGCTGTGTGTGCACTGTGCATGTGCTGTGTCCTGCGCACGTGCCTGCACTGAGCATGTGCGTACACTGAGTGTGTGCATGTGCTGAGCATGTGTGTGCACTGTGTGTGCACTGTGTATGCATATGCTGAGTGTGTGCATACGTTGAATGTGTGTGTGTGCACTGGGCATGTGCGTGTGCTGAGCATGTGTGTGTGCTGTGTGTGCACTGTGCATGTGCTATGCGAGTGTTGTTCATGTGTACACACTGGGCCTGTGCGTGTGCGGAGTGTGTGCATGTGCTATGTGTGCATTGTGCATGTGCGTTGTGAGTACATGCACTGTGCGTGAACATGTGTGTGTGCTAGGCGTGTGCATGCCCATTCTCCGCTGGAAGCCAAGGTCCTCCAGCCCAAGGGTGTTTTAATCCCGGGGCTGACGACTGCTTCTCTCCCATTTCAGGTCTCTGTCTTTCGGGTTATGAGGATAGACAGGAATCATCTTAGATAAGATTTTTTTTTTAAGAGGAGAAAAAATTGCAGCAAGTAGTACATCACAAGGGCTTTGGAAAGGCTGATCACCCTCAGCTTAGCCTTAATAGTTTATGGAACCCAGACTTTGAGAAGCCGAGGAAATGTATGCGATTATTCAACTCACGTATACCAAGTGACTCCTCCATGTCACACACCGTGGCACGTCCTTGAGAACACTGTTAGGGACTAAATGTTTGTCTCTCTCCAAAACCCGTGGAACCCTAACCCCAAGGTGACGGGACTGAGCTGGGGTCTTGGGCCCTTAGGTCAAGAGATATAAATTAAATTTAAAAAAAAGTTTCAGGGGAAAAAATAACTAAAACTGTCTTTCTTGAAATTAAAAAAAAAAGCATTAAAAATATCTATTTGATGCCTGCAGTAAGATATGTAGCCCCAGCAAGGTGCTACTGTATAGGATGTTCATCTGCTCACTGAGGGTTATGACTTGTGTTCATGGAAATGTGTATATCAGCTGTGCTTGCTATGGAAATATTTAGATTAATTAAGATCTTTAGTGACTCAATAAAATGTGGGGGGGAAAGTATAAGAAAGCAAACATAGATACCAGAGACAGTGTGGGAGGAAAGTGGGAGAAGGCCCAGGGTAAGAGATAGGGAATCAAGGATGGGGGAAAAAAAGCAAAACATACAGGAAACAAGAGATGGAAAATTATTTGTTGACGATAACATGTATGTTGATGTGCTTGATTGAGCCAATACAGTGTACTCTGGATGGAAAATCTCACTTTGTATGCTGCAATGATGTACAGTGAATGAATGTAAATAAATAAATTTAATTAAAAAGAGAGAGAGAGAGATTAGCGCCCCTATGAGAGAGGGGAAGGGCCCGTTCTCTCTCTCCCTGCCCTCTCCTCTGCCTTCTGCCATGGGGGCCTGTAAACCAACACCAGGCCTCCACCAGGCACTGGAAACGCGAGGAAACGCGAAGCTTTGATCTCGGACTCCCCAGCCCCAGGCCAGCCCGCGATCAGTGGGGGCCTGCGCAGCCAGTCCGCATCTCCACTGCGCGAACGGCTGGGTGGGGGGACAGGGCACACCCTAACCGGCCTCGGCAAAATCCAGAGCAGCGCCTTCGGTTCACTTCGCCTCCCCTGGCTTCTGGCCAATCTCAGAGCTGTCCTTGCGCACACACGCATGGCACGCCGCCGGCCACTGCACCGGGTCGGACTGGCCACTCTGGACGTTCACACGAGGACCCGGACACAGCAGCACCATGGACTGTCGCGCCCATGTAGACGAGAACGAGAACGACAGCGGGGAGCTCCGGGGCGGCTCTGCACAGCCGCGGGAAAGGGCCGCGTGGCGCGAAGCGAATCACGGAGCCAGGACTCGGGCGGCCGGGACCCCACACCACCTCCCAGCAGGCTGGGCTCCGCCCGGGGGCTTGAAAAGCACAGAGCCATCCCCGAGGGGGGAGGAG